TCTAATTGTGCCCACAACTTCATAAGTAACATACTTTATGTGTTTAACCTTCTCTTTTTGGTTTAACATTGGGTGCGAAAACCTTCCTTTCCCTATTTATTCATACACTAGATTCTTATGTTATGAAATCAAGTAGAATAGCTGACTTTGAGCTCCTTAGTCGTCTTCTATTTCTTTTCTGTTGGGTGGCTCTATTTTTCCTTCAGGGTGTAACAAGGAAGCAAGTGGCAAAGATTGTAGATGGGTAAGTAATTGTTTTTGTAGGGGGTGAGTCAAGATAACAGTTCTGCTTGGCAGAATTGTACATCTCTACTCTTCCATTTTGACAGGTATGGATTTTAAAACCCTACTTAAATATGATCATTTTAAAAAAAAGAAAAACCCTACGTGGGCTTTGTTTAGAGTATTATTTTATAGGGTTTATGCATATTGTATAGGGTTATTTTCCAGTAGTTCTTTAGTCTGATAGATAGAATTGCTAGTTTCAATATGGAAATAAAGCATTAACAGATAACCTTTCTAATTTTTTTTTTAATGTGGTGAGATATAATGCCAAAATTGGTGGAATGTTTTGTTTTTCGAAAAGTTTGGCTTTATAATATTCTGATAAGTAAAGAATTTTCCATGTGCAGTTTTGGTTTGACCAGAAATAGGCATGTTATTTGACTTGTACCCGTACAAGGATTTTACTTAGATATTTTTAGGTTATAAAACATTGCCCACAGTTTACTATCCATTATTTCTCATTTTTCTGTCCTTTCTGATAACTTCTAATGAGAAAAGTGAGTTGTATTGATGATCCACCTATTTTTTTTTTTTACACAGAATGACAATATTTCCTTCACATAGATGTAGAGTATATTACAGGGTAGTACCTTTGCTCTTTTCTAATGCACATTTTTATTAGTTTTTTAAGTGGGTGTGGGAGAGCATTCTTTAAAGGTCAGGGTCTTGTTTAGTATTAAAGATTTCTGTTACTATTCCTTGACCTCAAATTCTTAAATATAGTCCTGATCCTGTTTTCCTCCTTTAATTCCTTAAGGAAGAAAAGACAAGGAGATTAAATACCCTAAACTTACCATATATTCTATGTAAATGAAGATAATGGTAATTTCAGACAAATGTATTACTTCTGAAATATTGATACATTTACTAATAAAGGGTTTTGTTTTTCTTTTTTTAAAGTCACTGGCATAAAAATTGGACTTTGTGAGTTTTCCTGGAATCAAGCTCTGGTATTTTTCTTCTGTCATCAAATGTCTCTTATTACATATGGAATTCCTACAATTTCCCTATCATTTCATAGATGTTTTGATTTTATTTTGCCAGTGACATTGAAGAACAGTCTGCTTTGTTGTTATAATGGATAGCAGCCTCTTTGAAGCTCCCTAAGCCTTGTCAGAATAATGTTAGAGACAGGCTTCCTATAAAGTAAATAAAAACTAACATTGTTAGAATCCTATAATAAGTAGCATTGAGAGAGTGAGGATGAGCAAAATCTTCAGTAGCTACTCAATGTAATATTTCTCATTTACTTAGGATATTTTGTTTTGAAAATCAGCATTCCTTTTGAAAAGGTTTTTTTTTTCCATTTTCAGTTGCTTCATGTGAGGCTTTTGTTATTCAAAATGTGATTTTAAAATTGCTATAAAATGATGCTCATGTAGCCTTATAGGGTGTACTTTTCTGTGTTCAGTAATTTGAGTTAAGGTGAAAAACGATCTTTAGTGATTCTGCATCTTTCTGATAACGTTCATAACCATTTGCAGCCCCTTTACTATAAATTCCAACAATGTAACAGTGTTAACTGGCTTTTAAAATCATTTTTGAGGCTCTCCTCCCCTCATTATTTTCAGCTATTATGTTGCCTGGTAAATAACCTGTCATTTTGAATTTTCTTCTCAGCTTTTTATTTCAGCATGGATTTTGTGTGTCCCTTGGAAGTATTTTCTTTTGATTGCAACTTTCTTAATTGTAAAAGGGCAGGCTTTTTGGTCTAATTCTCACTGTTGAGAATTGGAAACATAATAAAAACATTTAATAATTTATCACTCAATTGTTCATTGTAAAAAAGTGTTGCAGACTATCTCTTAATTTAATGAATATTGAAAAGCGTAAGTACTAAAGGAGAAAAATGATGATAAAGACCTCTTAGAATTTATGTATTGCGGGTGTGTCATGTAGGTCTACTACTGAAAATAGAACTATTTCTTAGCTTTTATATAATGCACATTAGGAAGAGCTTTAACTTTAAATTCCTACATATGATGAAAAACATTTTCAACTCCTGCTTAATGAAATTTCCTCTTTTATAACTAGATAGGTATTTATCCCAGATGAAAAGCACTTCAACTCAATACTTGTACTCTGTCCCCTTTCCAGGTTACCAAAAAGTATCCTGCAGCAATCCACTTAGAGAAGTGGCCATTAGCCTTGAAGAGGACTAATTAAATGATGTTAGCAGAAGGAGGAATGGCTTTTTTTTTTGGTTTTGTGTATATTAAACAAGTATAAATGATTTAGAATTACGACCTTGATACACTATTGACTTTGCCTAGGGTCTGTAAAATAATAAAAATTCTGTAAAATAGCTATCATCTAAACTTTTTCTTCTCAGTAGATTTTTCCCTAGAATTAGGCTTATTTACTTTGAAGACTTAGTTTTAGACATCCTTAGATATAATGGAACTTGACTCAGGTTAGCTGTTTATATCTGCATTGAAAACAAAATGTTGAATTTCTTAAGGGAATAGTATTGTAAACAAACCAGTTTTAAGACCTGCGTAATGAATCTACATTCAGATTATTGCAGTCAGTCCTGGTTCCTTTACCATAAGAAAAATGTATTATCTAGAAAACTTGAATATAACACATATTTCTGTATCTTTCCTATATAGATAGGAAATAAAGGTGGTAATTTTTAAGTTTAAAAATCTAAGAAAAAATGAGTTTTTTAAGAGGTGAGGTATATGTGTAAAGGTAATTTGAGATTTTTCACAAAATTCAATACCTGTCATTAGGAGTCCTTATTGATAATAGGTTTAAGATTGGTCAAAGACAATATTAGGTCCTAGTAAATAAATATATGAAATTTATTTTCCTAAAAATTTAATAAGGTTTAAAAATAGAGTAATAATAAATGTATCAATGAAAATATACTTCCACCCCTATATTGAACTATTTTTACTGTTGCAAAACTAAGTGAAAAAGCTTTTGGTTCTCAAGTTCATTTTTATAAGACCCATATACTTTATATTTTTTTGAGTGCAACGGAGTTGATTCATTTATTCTCCAGTTTATTTCTGTTCTGGATGAGAGGGGTAACTGATGTAGACATGATATAAGCAGCATACTTTGATTATGAAGCAAATTATTTTTTAAATTTTTTAATCTTTTTAAATCAAAATGCCTAAAAGTCTCATATTTTTAGTGACACATTGTACCATACAATATTTAGCAATTAATGATGACTGTATCTTGAAATAAATGTTAAATTTTGTTCAGTGTACCCAAGGAAGTAATTAGAAAGAAAATACTTCAAAAAAATTGTTATTTTAATATTTCTTAAAAGGCTCATTACTTTATTATACAGTCTTGAAAAATGATGGCTATCTAAATATAATTTTCCTCTATGATGCTAAACAGGTGACATATTAATCATGCTCTCCTACCAATAGACTATAGCCCTGGTTGGAGTCCCTGCAAGGCTCTATTCAGTATTTATTTGATACATATTACCTGTGGATTTTCATGGTAAGAAAATGTCTGGAAATTAGAGCATTTTAAATGCAGTAGCTCATCAGTAGTACATCACTGGAAATGTATAAACATCTGTGCATGACTGATGTTTTAAGCTATTTCTCTTATGAAATGGAATTTTGGAGGGTTGCATTATGGAGGCTGGTTTTCAAGTATTTTGGCCCCGTGTAGGTACAGGTGCAAAAAAATATATATATATGTCCATCTTATGGCCTGAATATGTAAGGGCTTTGTAGATAATTGTTCCTTAAATAGATAAATGACACAAATTTAGCATCACTGGTTTTATGCGCTTTTTAGCTGACAAAGCTAGCCAATACACGAATAGTGTTGTTAGTTCACTGCATATTTTGAAAGGAAAAGGTGCCCTGGAAGATTTATTCTTATCATGTGTCTAGGTTGATCCATCAAAGTTAAAGCACAGCAAGGTAGTGTGCTGGGCACTTCCTTACTTCCCTCCTTACATCTAGTGTTCCTATTGAAGGGTTTTCTGATACCTACCTGTCTTGTACCTTTCAAAATTAATCACATGTTTCTATGACTTGCTCTGCAATAGCTGAGCCCCCACAGATTCCCATGTTATTGTGGTTGACCACATTATTTTAGTGCTGCAAATAAAACTCGGTTGAAGGGGGGAAAACCCTCAAAATCTATCTTTAAAATATTATTCATTTGACTATTTACTAGAGGGAAAAACCATAATCATTCTTCTTAGCTGAAAAAGATAGAGTAAAGCTAAGGGATAAATCTTATTTCATTTAAATTTTTAAGGAATTTTGTTTTAAAGTTAGTGTTTAAAGGAAATTTTTATTCTGTCAACTTTTGAATTTAAGCATGGAACCAGAGATTTCCAATTTTACTTCTGTGACTGGGGATGGAAATAACTACTGCTAAGTAAGAGTTGCTTTTGCATTGTATGAGATAGAAGGAAATAAGTTTTGGAGTGATAAGAAAAAGTGAGCATTGTAGCAATAGGATAACTAATTGAGAGGATGTTGACATTTTCATGAAATTATTCTTGTAGTGTGAACAATATATTGACATTTGTAATAATGTATACTAAAATCTTGGCTTTTTTTTTTTAGGTTCACTTAGTGATTCTAATAGTGATTGATTGCGAATTTTTTTGTACTTTTATCATGGAAAATGATGTCCCAAATTAATCTTTTGTTTTATTTTAGATGGGAAATATAAAATCATAAGAACGATAGGTTGACTGTGATAACTATGTTTACTTACAGAGAGAACAGGAAATGAGAATGGGTGATTTGGGTCCCCGTGGAGCAATAAACATGGGAGGTAGGGATTTGAAGCAAAAGGCTTCTGTAACTTACTTAAAATTCTTTGGGACTGTGTATGTTATTTATGGTGTTTACATTTTAATGACAGACTGATTTATACATTCATGGAATTAGTACTTTGGTGTTCATAGTGAAATCAGGTGTATTTCTTAAACTGTCAGTTGCAGTTAAATGTTTTAAGGTAATATGCCCAGAAGAAACCATGCATTTTGTTTAAATTTGAAAGCAATGAATGAGTCATTTTGGGGGGGGATGGGGGTGTGTCAATAGTTCTAACAAGCTTTCATTTTCATACTTCCTCTAACTTTCTGAAACAAGTAAGTTGAATGTAACTTTGCTAAAAAATAATTAATTATAAATGACAAATTTACATAAATATTTTCTGGGAACATTAGCTAAGCTTTCCATGGTTTATAGGATGGGCTTCAGATAGACTTACATTCAGCCTCCCTTTTGTTTGATCTTTTCTATTGGGACCAGAAGGTGTTACTATGACCCTTCTGAGAATTTGTAAATTCATTTAATTTCAAATTCAATTAAATTCAAAGTAAATGGAGAATTACCTTGTTCTTTTTGAATCTAAGTACTCTTGTATCATAACACTGTTGCCATTACTTATTAAAAATCTGTCATCCAGAGTTAATTGAAAACCTATTTTTGGACCCTTCCCTTGGGGAACTTTATTTTCGTGTTAGAGCTTGAGAGGAAGAATATACAATGACAAAAAAATTGTGTTTTACAGTTAACATAATACAATAAGATTAATTTTGAAATGGAGGCTAATTTCAAAATTAGTTAAGAGAGAGATTGTTATGGACTGGAGTACCTTAAGATGAGTTTGCATTATAAATTCAAGTTTTTAACATGAGATAACCTTGAAAAATTCAGAGGCCCCTGAAATAGTGAAGATTTTGTTTGCTTGACATTGTTTTTAATAGGAAGGATGAACAGCACAATTTATAAAATACTTTGATAAACAAGAGTACAAAAATTCTAAGATCTTTTCCAGAAATCTTTGGTATTAAAATTTAGATATTCTCAGTTCGTAAGTAAATGCCTCTCTTAACACTTCAAGTTAATTTTTTTTTTTTAACCTAGGAGGGGCTATCGGAATTCCTTCAGAGGGGCTCCTATATTATAGCCCATTTACATTGACTAGGTTGACATGATTAATGGAAGGACAGTAGGATAATATCTAGTAAATTTGACTTAGGAGTTTCTAGAATTCAGTTTAAATGGCCAGTTTAGACAATGTGAATTGCTAGTTAGGTTTCATATCAGTTCCTTGTTAAGGAACCTTTCTTTCTGAATGGTTGTGTCTGGTAGAGATGTGACTCTGGACTACTTTTTAATCAATCTTTCATCTTTAATACAGTAACATTCTATTATTTCAAATGGAACTTTGAATCAAATTGCATTTGATTCATTAATTAGGTGATATAAAATATTGGGCTCACTTTTATAAAAGAGGTTGTGGTTTTGTGTGTGTGTGTATGTGTTTAAGTTCCACAGGGTAAAATAATGTATTTGCTAAAGATGGAGATAAAATTCTTTGTCACTTCTTTGATTTCTTAAATACCACATAGGAGACTAATCTTTATTAACAGAAAGGGGAGTTTGATTTCTTAAATTTATCAGTAGTATTCTGTTTAGAATTAAAATATAGGCAGTCTCTAACTTACTTGTAAGTTAGAATAGCTTATCCAGAATGTATAACCTCATCCTTCCTAATGCTTTAGGAGACCTTAATACCGTGCCATTTGACCCCTAATGAAAATAATTGCGTGTTTTAAAGAATCTTTGTTGCCCCCAAGTAGAGTAAAGTGAAGAAGCTGAGGAAAGCAGAAATAATTTAGGTGGAATTGATCTGATCCCTGTGACAGGTTTAAATCATGTTTTCTGAATTTTTAGTTTTTCATTTGCTTTCCATTGCCTGAAATATCTCTAATGCTTCATTTGGTTTAGCCATTATATTTTTTTAAATGACAGTAGCTCTAGTTAGGATAATGGGACAAATGGCTGCAGTCTTTCAGATTATAAATCTGTAAATTAGTTCAGATTGCTATTATAGATCTCCAGGGAAGAAGGGAAGGTAAGTAATTTTGAAACATGGAATGTTTTAATAGGTCTAGGAATGAGAAAAATTCTTTCATACTAAAAGTAGGACCCACAATTAAGATTAATATTGTTGTAATTTATATCAATTACATGGGGACTTTAACAGGTTATTTTGAAGGATTAGCCTGAAAACTTCTTCAGCATCTTTTTTTTTTTTTTTTTTTTTTGGTTGGGCAGTGGGAGTTAAGGGACTTGCCCAGGGTCACACAGCTAGGAAGTGTTATGTATCTGAGGCTGGATTTGAATGCAGGTCCTCCTCAATCCAGGATCAGTGCTGTATCCACCTAGCTGCCCCTCTTTACCATTATTCATAAAGGAAAAGTGTATGTCAGTATTATTTGATTTACTAGTAGACCATTACCTGTAAGTTGGGAACTGCCTATATTGTTAGTATTTAATAGAAGTCTCTTGATTTATACATTTTACCAAAGAAAAGGATAATAAACAGAATATTAAATCTATATGTAGTCCTTGTACTTACAGTTGTAGGGTATAGTTATTATACCCCATTTATGGTTTAAATTCTATGCTAGTCTATTATGATGGCAATAACTATGTAATATAAAAATTAAAAGCCCCAGCTTTTAACCCATTGCTAGTAATATGTGCTATCTTGGATTCCATGAAAACAAGAGAGTTTGCAAAAATGGGTCCTTTGATGAGTTAGTTATATTGATATTTCATTTGTATTTGTTTGTAGCTTATTTAAATTTAGAAACTCGCCTGAAATTCTGTCAATTTTTTTTAAGCTTTATGTAGGATATAGTATTTTTCCCCCATATCATTCACAAAAATCACTTGTTATTTTTGAACTCTGGTGTGGCTGTACTTAAAGATTATTTTCTAATAATATTATGTAATTGCACAAAAAAATAGTATTTTTTGTACTTTCTAGTCAGAAATTTGTCTGCTAGATATCTTAGAAAGGTAATGGGAATTTTTTCCCACTGATTTGCCTCCATTGTTATGTCTCGAAATACATATTTCCTTTATAGTATATAAGATGTATAAAGCGGATACATGATATCATTTTCCTATTACTCAACTTCCTTAACTACTGTTAGAAAATTATGTTGGTCCTAGTGGTAGGGAATTTATTAAATTGGGGAAGGTTATGTAATGTAATGCTATTTAATGTTGTTTAAATAAGGAAGTTTCTTATTGCTGCACTGCATTTTAGTTTTCAATAAATTTGATGCTTGATTTGCTTTCTTTACATTGGAGGCAATAATTGAGGGGAAAAAATCCATTTCAGAGCAAATAATTGAGCTAAATTAAAAACCTGAAGGAAAATGGTTTTGATCAATTAAAAAATTTCCATTTGTAGATCTCTTAAATATATTTTAAATGCATGTGAAATCTAAGATAGGACAGCTCTAAGTATAGATTGTTTTGCATAGATGCGTTTAGCCCAGCACCTGCTGGTAACCAAGGTCCTCCTCCAATGATGGGTATGAATATGAACAACAGAGGAACTATACCTGGCCCACCTCTGGGTCCTGGTCCTGCCTTGGGACCAGAAGGAGCTGCAAATATGGGAACTCCAATGATGCCAGATAATGGAGCAGTGGTAATGTATCATAAAACTTATTTTAACTCTATTCAGCTATATCATGATACACTTCTGCACCAAAGATAACTTCACACTTAGCACAATTTGGCATCTTTTTTTTTTTTTTTGACAGGCAAATTTGGCAAAATGGTTGTAGAATGTTAGATATTTTCAATATTGTTAAGAAAGCAGTTCTGATAGGTGCTCTTTAAATGAGATTATTGTGCTATGGTATTGTGCATGTGCATATTACTTGTGTAGTAATGAATACGACTAAAATTACCATATTATCTTTACATTTCACTGCATATAAAATGTTGCCTTTTACTCACATTTAAAACATTTGCATTATATAAAAAAAAATGGACAAGTATTTTAAGAGTTTTACTTGACCATATTTTTATTAATGTGTCAACAAATAGCCTTTACTTTTGTTGTGGGACCAAAAAATACGTTTGAATTAAGTCTTGTGAAGATTCTCACAATTCAAAAAGAATATTTAGAATAACTTGTTTAGAATAACTTTTTATATTCAAATTAGAATATGAATGATTTGTTTTTTACTTGGACATGTAGTTTGTATGTTATTGCTGCATTTCTTACTCTTAATTATATTTGAGTAAAATTTTAAGGAATATGGTTTAATGTTTGCATTAGAGTGTGAAGATATCTTTGGGTGGGCTAAAAACTTTAAATTTTAATTTCATTTGTTGCCATTTTTATTACATGTTCAGAATAGTAACCAGAATATGCATAATTTAAAAATATATATTTTTTGAGAATTGATTTGGTGGTTTTAGTTTATTCTAGATCTGTTTTATAGGTATAAAAGTATTTGATAAGTGAAATTTGCATGAAGAGGATTAGTTAGGGTGTGCTTTGTAGACTTTCTGAAATGGTAGAGTTCTTATCAACACAAAATAAAGATTATTCTGTGCCAAAATAGGAACCATTCAGAAGCATCATTTTTGTAGGATTAACAGTGCTCTGTATATTCTTATGAAGATGCAGTGCATGTTATAACACTTTGGGGTTTTTGTTTTTTGTTTTTTGGTTTTTTTTTTTTTTTTGTAATTTATGCATTTAAGTTGTGATGGATTACAGTAATAATAGCTAGTATTTTTATGGTGCTTTAAAGTTTGCAAAGCACATTACAGGCATTATCTTGTTTGAGGTCCAGGTGCTCTTTATTATTCCTATTTTACAGTTGAGGAAACAGGCCAAGAGAGGTTAAGTGACTTACCTAAGGTCACATAATTTTTTTTTAAACATATAAGTGTCAAGCACTTTGCTAAAGCACTTCTCAGATACTTTCTCATTCCATCCTCACAACAACTCTTCTAGGTAGGTGCTGTTATCATTCACATTTTATAGTTGGAGAAACTGAGGTAAATAAAGGTTAAGTATTTGCCTAGGTTCATACAGCTAGTAAGTGGCTGAAATTGAGCTCAGGTCTTTCTAATGTGTAGATCTAGCACTCTATCCATTACACCACCTTGCTGCCTCTGATAATATTTAAGTATCTGAGGCAGAGTTTGAACCCAGTTGTTCCTGGCTCCTAGTCCAGTCTTTCCATTGTACTATGATGCCTCTGTATGATGAAACATAATTTATATGTTGAGTGAATTTTTAATATTCCTAGGACTATGGATATTAAGTGTTGTATTCAGTAGTCTAAAAGCCTTTTTTAAGTTTGTTTTTTGTTTTTTTGTTTTTTTCTTTAGTTGGACAAGCTGTTAATTCTAAGTCTTAAATTGGCTTGGTCTCCTTAAGTCTTTTTTTTTTTTTTTTTTTTTAAATCCAGGGAAAGGTAGTATTCAAGACTATACTTGCCAGCATTAGTATTTTTAATGTGTTGTATGCTGTTTTTGTTTTTTTTTTTTTAAATAGAAATGTGAAAGCATGTGATACAGATTTTAGTGTAGCTATTACTAACTACTAGGTATTTTTGTCCAATAAATTTTTCAGTAATCTTTGAGAAATGGCCATATGCTTTCGACTTTACTGTTTATTATGATACATAGGGTATTTGAAATATTTTTTGCTTAAATAGAATATATTAATGAAGTATTTTTGACCATTTATTTATAAAATATTTCATTTTTTCTGTTGATTTTCAAAAATAAAGATTTATATTAAGAGAATGCCTCATAAGCCCTTTTTGAAGGAAATTATTTTCAATATGAAGTTAGTATACCATGCATCATAAAAATTAGTTTTCTTCTGTTTAATGAAATTGGGGCAAAGCATTAGCAATGTGTAATTCTTCAGCTGCCTTTTGCATAGTGACTAATTAAAATGCTCCTTTCTTCCTTCTATGTGTGATCCTGATTCTGCTGGACTTTCTGCTGAACTTCATGACACCACCACTTGGGATTTTGATAATTTTTTCATACTTTTAATATTTATTGTATTCTAAATGGACTTAATGTTTATTATGTGGTACAATAGCATAATGATAGATTTTCCCAAGGACCACCATCTCAGATGGGTTCACCTATGGGCAGTAGAACAGGCACTGAAACCCCTCAGACCCCAATGAGTGGTGTAGGTCCTGTGAGTGGTGGTCCTGGTGGCTTTGGTAGAGGAAGCCAAGGGGGAAACTTTGAAGGACCTAATAAACGTCGCAGATACTAAAGAATCTTTCAGTCCTTGCAATTTAGAGAGAAGAAAATTTAGTGGTATGCCTTTATAATTTTCTGAAAGAAATGGTTTTATTGTTAATGTAGTCTTTTCAAAGTTTCTTTTGTAAAACCTGAAGTTTTTGTATTTTTTTCTTTAGTAATACATAAGCTTTGTAGTCTAGAGTGGAAATGATGATGCTCATCATTGTGAAAGTCAAATGTGTTTGTGACTTTAGCTAAATATAGACATGCGATCGTACTGTAAAACTTGTGCAGATACTTGATCTCAATAAAGAAATCACTTTGAATAATTTGAAATATTAGTAGTAGTATGCTCCTTTAAAGTATTACCAAACTTGGCTGTACTAATAACATTTTGGTTGCATTAACTCAATAATGCCAGCTATTCAAAAAGCAAGAAGATTCCATGCTTTTTAGTTGTAAACTAGAAAGTAGCACTGGACTTTGCAAGATGTGTGGTTAATACCTGTTGTATTAAGGGGTTGAAAGATAGTGCAACATCTTGAAGAGCTGAACCTTTGTACAAACCCTTAATGTTCTGTAAAATCAAGGTTATGTTGTCTATGGTTTAATAGCTAGAATAGACCAGAAATATTAAGAAAATCTTTGTCCTGTGTTCAATTTTCCAAATAAATACTTTGATTCTTGGCTAAAGCTGCTTGAAGATGAATCTCCTTTGCTAATATATAGTTTTGTTCTAGAAAATATATTTGGACTTGTAATAATTAACTTTGTTATGTCAATATCAACACTTCAGCGTTTGTTAAAAACAAATTGTGTACATAGCAAATGTAGCAATTTCACCTCTGCCCCTTCCCCCCCGCCCCCCCCAAAAAGGTTTGGCTTTGTCCAGGATTGGGAGAGGTTAAAATGGATGTAGTTCCAGGGTTTGCTATGAAAAATTTCAATTAGATCTTTGATTAGATCAAACTGTTTGTTTATAGATCATAATTGGATTTATGTCCATTTTTTTTTTTATACTCTTGGGTACTGAAAGCCTTTGATTTTGAGCATTTTGTTTTCAAGACTGGCAGGTTCTTAAATAATGGTATCCAGTACTTTAATAATGTACTGTCATGATAAATAATCTTACCGTCTATGAATTACCTTCAAACATACCTGGGAAATGGTCAGCTGTTATGTCATCTTGCCATTTAGATCATTTTCAGTTTTGTAATCAGATTTACAGAACCTGTCCTACTACAAAATAATGCTTTCATTTTAAATTTAAATATTTACTTAAAACAGTAAGTTTACAACTTAAATAGTTGTTTATGAAACAACTTTTTCATGTGTTTCAGAATGATTTCTTTTTAACTTTTGGAAAAAAATTAAGTTTTAGGAGTAACAAATTATAACAAGAAATTCTAATCCATTACCTGTTGGCTTTTATTTCATGATATTTGCAATATTATGTGTATAGGATGGCCCACAAATCTTAATGTGATTTTAATCTATCAAAACTTAAGCATTTTGAGCCACCCTCTATAGCAGTTTTAAAAATGGAATGATTTCTTCCATTTGATCCTTTATATGATTTAAAATTTAAGCAGACTTTTCAGAAGTCTACCAACTTTTATTTTTTAATATAGATAGTAAAAAAAGATATATTTGAAATCTACTGCTCCTGTGTGCTAAGTTTTTTTTGGTAATTACAAAATGTCATGATTCTTTTTCTTAATTTTAATATTCAGTCACTGTTGTGTAGTTTAAACTTTTTTTTTTGAAAGTGTGCACTAGTATTGTCTGCACACACTTGTCTTAGGCAATTATTTGAACACAATAGATCGGTAAGAAATATAAGTGATAACTAGCCAAGTATGTTTTACTACCATTTGGGTTACTTTCTCTAGGTGTGAAGAAAGGGCAGTTATTTACTTGAGAAATTTTTTTTTTTAAAGCTTTGTCTCAATTATCATAATACCCTTGCAGTTAAACATACCTTATTGTTTGCATGTGTTTGTTATATACTAGGTGATTTTGTGAGTGTCTTATTTTATTACAAACCTGAAATAGGGTGGGATGAAATTTTGTTCTTGGCTATTAAATACCAGGTCAGCCTGGATGCCATTCTTTGACATTGTGTATGATTTGATCAAGAACATTTGAAAGCCAATGCAAAAAGTGGGTGTTACATCTCCTGAACATCATAATGTCTGGGCTCAAGTATGGCTTCCGGAGTAGAGTTCTTCACAGTCTGTGGCCCTTCACGGAGAAAGTCCTTCTTCAGTACTTACCAAGTTTATCCTGGGGACAGTCTGCTTCTGAGTGCCAGTCCAGTGGAGCACCCATGAACTTTTAGTTTATGCATTTTTAGGATCATTACCCACCTCCTTGTATAATCAAATAACTTTATTGTTAAATTTTTATCTCTTTCCTGAATTAGTAAAATGTGTGGAATTAAGGGCTTATTTTGTCTGCCTTTGTCTTTTAGTTGCAAGAAGTGATAGTATAGAAATAGAAAATTTAGCAATGTTAATTAACTTACTTAAGGTATCACTTGAATTTGTTATCTGCTGCCAACATTCCTTCCTACTTACTAAAGGAGATACAAATCAAATTTTGGCATACTTTGGCGGTTATTTTCTTTGTATAGTTTGTTAATAGTTGTGTTCTAAAGTTTGAAATATTCAGCTATTTTACATTTTGTAATAATTAACGTGGTCAAAATAAACATACATCCATTTTTCTCACTTTTATTTTAGGTGGAAAAAATGTTTCCTGTGTTGTTTGTTACTTTTGACATTAAAATCATTTTTTGTGTGTGTAAATATAATTTTTTTTAAATGAAGGGTCACCAGTTTTTTAGACTTTAATAATTCATTTTCCTGGAAATCAGAAGAAGTAAATATGTTGATACTGGTAACAAAAACTTTGCAGATTCGGTTCACATTAACTGATTGCCTACAGCATCAAAATGTTGCTAAATTTTTTATAAGTGAACTTTTCTTAGATAAGTTCCCCAGAAATAGTAATCAAGATCACTGGCTACTTTAATAAGGGCTCTGCTGTTTGTCCAGTATATTTCCTCTTAAACTGTCCTTTAAAGTTTCCTTTCACATTTAGTTCAATATCATATCTGTAATGAAGGCGTAAATTTTATCTGGTATCTACATGAAGAGCCTGAAATGTGCTTAATTATTATTATGATCAACAGTAGCCAATTAAACTAGGAACGTCTGGGCTAACCTGTGTCTGTTCCATTGTGACTAAAGAGCACATAGATTGGAAAGAATGTAGCTGATGAGTGAGAGTGTTGCAGATATTTGTGTGGAAATGAAAAATGCCTGAAGTTGAGTGGTCAGGTAGACAAAGTGCAAGTAGTTTTTAAGTGCAGCAATTTGGAGAACCATGGGGTGCTTGTAATACATGTGTCTTAGGGCTGTATGTTAAAATTTTCTGAAATGTAATCATTGATCCTTGAAATAGCCAAAAACGGTAAAATTCATTGTCTTTCTAAAATATTTATAGAGTAGTATAGGAAATGGGATATAGCAGTATAGATTTCCATTAAAGATAAAGCAGGGTGGGATTATTCACTTTCAAAAAGCCCCTTTTCCAGATTTGTAGGTCCTAGTGCAATTAAAACAGTGATTTGATTTATATGAATTTATATCAAGACATCTGTTCAAAGTGATACTATCTGCATATTATGGTTTATGTTTTTATCCCTGCATAAAATATGAGGAAATGTTTGAATACTTGCAAGATTGATTTTGTTTTTATTTTATAACTGGTTTTTGTGTGTGTGTGTGTGCGTGTGTGCGCATCATTGTTAATTCAAGCTAATTTTTATGTTTAGATTTAAGTATTTTATTATCTGTCATGATCTTTTGTTTTTTTGGTTGTCGAATAATACAGAAATATATGCATTTTATTTCATGTAATTTTTTAGTTATTTTCACTTTTAGTTCTTTCAGTATTGCTGAAAACATGGATGAACTTAAGGAGTTTGTATTAAGATTATATATCCAACACACTGTGTCTAGCCTCTGCTGCCAGGTGTTTTTATATCATTAGACAAGTCACTACAATACACATACTTCAGTTACATCATCTTTTTCTCTGTGATTATCTGTAACTCTGAGCTATGCTGTCACCTACACATGAGTGATTTTGTTTGCTTAGTCACTTTGTGTGTGGTGATAACAGATTATGATTATATTGTATTTTCAGGTTTATAGAGCCACTTACATATTTTGCAACAGTCTTATAAAGTAGAAGTGGGGAATATTATCTGTGTTTTGCACCTGAAGAAACAGCCAGAGGGGTTAGAAACCTTTTCTGAGGGTCGTAACACAAGGGAGTAATATTTTTTTCATGTAGTTTCACAAAAAAGAGGGAGTTATTCTTAAATATGTAAAATGTTATGGGTTTAAAGTTACTTATAATTATTACATTTCCCAAAGTATTAGTTTCTTTAAAAACAACTGAAACTCATAGTAAAAAAAAAACATTTTATATCTCTGGAATGATGAGGACAAAAAAAAACAGCATGATAGTTTTGTCCATGATTTTTCATGAATTACCCTGTGTTTAATATTGTTTCTGCTGACAGATTTCTGAGAATATTCCTACCTTCTTTTGTGGGCAAATCATATCACTTTAGTCCAATCTTATAGTGAGGACTGTCTTCCAATTTTGGCAGACTTATTTGTAGCATAATTGATTTTGTTGTGTGGCCTGTACCTTTCTACTTCTTAGCACTTCCTTGAGTTCTCTGCTTTTTGTTGGCATTCCCTTGGAGAATGCAGAATCTCATTTACAGTGATTGGCACCAGAGGAACATTTTAGTGGCCAGCTCAGTAGTAGCGTAGGTTATCAGAATGGCGGAGTTAACTTTAGTTTACTGCTTCACAAAATGGACATCATATCTGTCCAAAATATCAAAGAAATGCTTTGAATCAAATTAGATAATATCCATTAAAACGATTTTAGTTTTGAAGAAAAAATTTTGCTACACTGAAATACAATGGTTACATCTTAGCATATCACGTAGATTCATTTCTGTCTGGATTCATGTACTCATGACTGATGTCATTTAATTGAAAATTTTTATTCTATTTGGAAAGATTATCACATACTCTATCCCTAGGCCAGCTCTTTTATTGCAAATTGTGCAGGAGAGCACTAAAAAAATTTTTTTTCTTAAAAATTATCTTAGGGAATTAACATGAGATAGTTTGTATAATTTTAAACTCTGATAATTTGATACTAAAATTATTTACCTCAAATTTTGAGATAATACTTCTAGGGTTTTTTAATAGGAAAAATATATTCAGTTGGTAAAGGTAAATGGAGTTTAATATTTGTGATATTTTATATGAAATCTTCTTACTTTTCCTCCTGTCAAGTACCATTGTCTTGTTTCTCCTCCCTCTATTATACCCATCAGTGGTTCTTTTTTGTTTTCTCTTTTTGAGGCTCAGTAATAACTGTCATATAATAATCTGTCATAGATAGTATGGCAAGAATTTTTGACACTTGATAATTTTGAGTGGATAAAATCTATACTAAGATGGTCTATATATATTTGTTAAGATTAGTTTTAATTACTGCTGAGGGTAGAGTTAACAACTTCAGTATTAAAAAGTGAAAATTGGGGTATTGATTTAAATGACTAGGTAAACTTAAAACATCGCTATGCCAAAGAC